CTCAGACTCCTGGCCTCAAGTGATCCTCCTGCTTCAGACTCCAAAAGTGCTAGGATTACAGGTGTGAGCCACCACGCCTGGCCTGGTTCAGCTTTCTGGAAAAACAAAAGCAACACCTTTCCCTTTAGTGAAATGAAGCCGGAGTTGTGGGACTTCCCTTCATTCACACCATCTTCTCTTAGGGATCCACAACAGTTTTATTACTGATCATCTTTCTCTCTGGAAACAACCCAGAGCTCCTTGGCTCAGAAAACTGGAACTTGGCCTTGGATTCCAGCCCAAGGTCACAGACTCATGTTTGAGGGGCTGGGTGGAGGATCTCTGATCCCTCTGGATTGGCTCTACCACTACCCCCAAGCTCCATCCTTTGCAGGAACAAAAGCAGGAAGGAAGCAGAGGCCTCCAGAGGCCTGACACAGTCTCAGGGGTCGGGGGGAGCCCTTCTTCTCCCCAAGACCCTGATACCTGGCCAGCTTAGGACACAAGACAGGGAGGAAACGTGGGCTGGGAGTCAGAGGCAGTGGAAGGACACAGAGTTTGGGAAAAGACATGCCCAATCCCTCTGCTTTGAAATCAGACAAATGCCTGGCTTCCAATCCTGGCTCCAACATCTCCATTTCTTAAGGCCATATGGATGCTATTTAATCTCTCTGAGCCTCAGTTTCCACAGCTATCAAAACAGATTTCACGATCTCTACTTTAAGAGAATTGCTGGGCATTCTGCCCCCAGATGTTAAGTCTGGCTGTATCCACCCACCCTTCGATCTCCCAAGACAGGCCTATCGTTCATACGAGAAAAGTACAACCATCTATCAATCATGCTCTGTAACTTGCCCAAAAATTCTGGTTTACCAGACTGTTTTGATGTTGAGCCATACAAACTGATCTACATTTACTTAACTCTGTTAAGTAACAGGGCCAAGCTGATTCCTGAATTTAGCTTATGTATGTACACAGCAGGCATTCAATACATATTTTTCAATGACTGAATCAAATGACAAGATGGGTTATCTTTATACTGATCCTACTAATCAAGTCTAATAAACTAAAATCTCTTTCTTCACTTGCTGTGTGTGCTGTTAGGCACTAATCCACCTTATGCTTTGATACTGCAGACATGTGGCGAGAAAACAGATTTAAACCATTACAGGACTAAAGATTTTGATGCTCCAGTTCCCTTCTGATGCAGGCTATGGGGAGAAGGAGCAACTGGGATGTTAAATCTCCTTATTCCTTTTGGAGATTATCTATCAGCTCCCTCAGGATTTATACACTGTTACCAAAGGGACTTTTCAAAATGGAATGCCTCGCCTGCAAAAAAATAAAAACTAAAAATTAACGAACTTTCATTCCAGAGGTGGACTGTCACCAAATTTTGCAAGCATATTTAGCAGAAGCATTCCTCTTTTAGTCTTGCTCCATAAATACTGAACGAGGAAGAACATTGCCTAAGACTGAGATTTGGCAAAAGAATCTAATGAAACCTGTCAGCTCCGTGCCACCAGCATGGCGTGTCGGAAGGCTCCTGGTGACTGGATGACCATCTGACTGCGCTGTGCTACCTCAGGCTTCACGTACAAAACAGTTTCTTGTAACTCCTACATGCTTGCCCACCAAAGCAGCAGCGTCGTGGGGCAAGAAAGGACTCTACACTCCCATCCCACAGAGGGACCCTTTAGCCTAAGAAAATATACCTACTAAAGTAAATGCACAGAAAGGAAAACTAAGAGCCAACTATGCCCTTAGCAAAAGGATTGCCCAAGGGTATCTTTAAAATGCCTCTACAATGGATTTAAGAAACTGTGACTGGCACACAATTTGGGAAATGTCCTTGATGAGGCAGAGCGTGGGGCACCTAACCAAGAGACGGAATGAAGGTGTGTGCTTACAAAACACAGCACATTGGCAAAGGGCATGGGTCTAAAGTCAGGTCTGGGTCTTGGACCCAGCTGAGTCACTAATGAGCTGTGTGACGGAGGCAAGTCATTTAATTTCTTCGGTTTTAGTTTCCTCACCCAGAGGTGGAGAATCATAATTAAAAGCAAGCATTGTCTACTTCCCAGAGTTACGGGGAAAATCAAATGAATGCGAAAGCTGTCGGAAAATACAAAGGCGTACCCAGAAGTCAGGGAACTCTTCTATTGTATGTACATATGTATGCAAATAAGAGCCACCTGGAAAATTACCTTCATCCATTCTTGCTCACACTGAAGGTATTTCCTCTTACTAATATAGTGAACAACTGGAATGTGAAAGATTTCTGTGAAGCAGGAGGAACACGCACCTCTTGGGGAATGGGCACTGCTGTCACCGAGGACACGTGATCCAGTTTGTGACAGCTTTTGGTGCCGGAGGACAGTCACACAGGCAAATGCACCCACCCCAGCTCTGCAGGGATCAGACCCTAAGCCTATTATTTCATGTTTACCAGGTACTAACAATATGCTAGGAGTGTCCAGAATACTGAATCCATTGTGACCAGGCAAAAGGAACCACCAACCCACAGGACAACACATGTGGCCAATGGACGTACGTGTCACCTTCCCAGTCATTTACAGGTACTCCCTTCTATAACCCTAGTAGGTTTGGTAAGCTTTTCCTGCACTCTCATCTGAAGACAGCAGTTAAATGTCTTCAACAAATCATCAGCCCTGTATGAAATCCAAAGAGGAAAACACAGGACAACCCTAACAAGTCCACACTGGAAAAGAGTTGTTAGCTGTCTTCCTCAGCGCACTGCGGGGAGGAGCCAACTGCAGGCCGACTGTTTCTGCTCTCTCCCATTTGCTGCCCTTCATGCTCAAATGTCCTAGAAGCTGGATCAGCCCCTCAAACCCAGTCCAGAAAGAACATCATAGGGTTGAATAACTACAGGGATGATCAAAACAATCAAAGGAAAACAAAGTACAGCTGTCCCTTGGTATCTGCAGGGGACTGGTTCCAGGACCCTGTGCCATACCAAAATCCACAGATGCTCAAGTCCCTGATGTAAAATGCTATAGTATTTGCATATAACATATGTATATCCTCTTGTGTACTTGAGACCATCTCTAGATTACTTATACTACTACTATATTACAAATGCTATGTAAATAGTTATACTATATTGTTTAGGGAATAATGACAAGAAAAAGTCTGTACATGTTCAGTACCGATGCAAGCATCCCTTTTTTTCCTGAATATTTTTTTATCCACAGTTGGTTGAATCCACAGATAGGGAGGACCAAGTGTACCTGGAAAGCTCTGCACGAATTCACCCACCTTGCTAGAAAAGCCAGTACAGGGGGAGGGGCTGTAAGGAGAAACCAAGAGGGACAGCTGGTTGCCTAATACCTAGTACAATGGTTCTCCAACTTTAGCGTGTATCAGAACCACCTGGAGGGTGTGTTAAAACACAGAAACCCAGAGTTTCTGTGTCAGTAGAGGATGCTACTGGTTCAGGGGAACACACTTGAAAAACCACTGACATAGTAAATGGCCAAGGGCTGTCCAGTCTGTCGGTCCCACTTGCACAACTTCTGACCCTAACCCATCCCCACCCCCTCCCAAACTGAGCCATCAGAAAACTCATAATAGGAATTAAACAGCCATGTTCCTCCCTTCCTCTCGCCTCCCCTTTTCCCATTCATAAACCATGCTGCTATGGATGAAGAGAATAATTCTCAAGCCATTTCTCATAAATATCTCCCAAGGCTACGTCTAGCTCTCACCTGTGCACAAGATGATTTTGCAAAAGGAGTGCATTAGGATGCAAAACAGGACACAGCAGTGCAGGACAAGCACTCGAGGGTTCCCTTGGTCCAGTTCTCTGACCCAGTGCGTAGTCCCTCTCTCCTCAGTGACAAGAGCGTGCCACTGGGTCAGTGCCAGGGAAACCCTGTGATCCGCTTCTCTCCTAATTCATCCTGACGATCTGCCACCAAGCACTGTGATTTCTTGCTGAGAGTTCACTTCATGACACCAAACTTCTGCCCCACCAGCCTCACCAATGACCCAGTGCAAAGGAAAGCAGCAAGTAGCCACAAACACTGCAGCTCTGGTGGGTAGAAGGGCAAAATTCCTCAACACCATGATCACAGCTGGAAGGGACCATTACAAATATTTCTTTCCTTCCTAAAGCTTTGCATTATACAGTACACTGTTTTACTAACAGCGGTAGTTACTGCCACAATAATATTGGTTTGTTTTAATGGGAGGGCTCACGGAAGTCCCTACAGAGAGCAGTGTTGTGAATAATGTCAACACTGTGTGGTAAGAGCCTATCCTACAAGTCTTTTCTCCTTTTGTTCAAATGGGAAAATCTGTCCGATATTCATTCTCTCTCTCTCTCTCTCTCTCTCTCTCTCTCACGCGCACACGCGCGCACACACACACAGTCAGCTTTCAGCTTGGCCTTTTCTGGCTATGGGACAGGAGAGGTTACACACAGTTTGGGCTGCAGTTGTGGGACTGAAAACTGACTTCAGGTTAAATAAGGAAAAAGAATGCAGAGTGATTCATTCACAGTGTATGTGTTTGCAAATACCTGGTCATTAAGATGATTTTGTGCACACAGAGATAGGCATATTTGATGGAACAAATGTGATTTTCCCTCCCATTAATAAAAAAATCCAATCAACTCTTTTTCACGAGCAAAACTGTGCACCATTTCCCAGGCTCTCAGTGCCTAACTTGTAGTAAATTCTATGAAGTCTTGTGAGCCAAACAACATTCTCCAACTACCAACAACCACCAACACAACCTCCAATTACCCCAGAATTATGAACCAATCTCAGATACACCACACTCAAGACATGTGCCACCAGCTCGAACAGCTGTATTCCGAAAATTCTGGAGAAGAACCCATCCTCAGGTGACAATATTGGCTGGGTCCTCAAGAACATTGATTAAATACTCTTGTTCCCTCCCTGCTCCCAAAAGAATCCACTCATTTGCATCTTCAGGTAAGGCCGCACAAAAACTGCCCTAACACCCAACCCCTTGGTGGCTCCTGTCCTCACCTGTTTTCCAGGAGCGTCATGCACACCACCTCTCGCACCCCGGGGTTGTTGGCCTTCTCCACCGAGCAGCCCTGCAAGTTCCAGGTGGCCAGCCTCAGCACAGGCCGCCCATCCCGCGTGCCTCCAAAGGCCTCCACGGAAGGCCGAGTGGAGATAATCTGCGTGGGCCCCCCGGGCGGCAGGTCCAGGTCCTCACTCTGCAGGCTCAGGGAGGTGGGGCTGGGGTGAGGCTTGGCAGTGAAGGTCAGGCCCCCGTTGGTGTGGGTGGATGGGGGCCTGGACCTCTCGGCAAACACCTGGTGCCGTATTCTGTCCAGGAAGGCGGCACTGATGCCATCCATCCTCACCAGGTCCTCCACGCTGCGAAAGGGCCCATGCTCGCGGCGGAAGTCCACGATGCTGAGGGCCATCTTCTCCGAGAGGCCTCGCACACTCATGAGCTGAGCCGGGGTGGCCGTGTTGATGTTGACACGTGGGGTGAGGGGTACGGCGGTGGCCAGGTGGTGAGGCTGCTGCTCGGCCAGCAGGTCCCTCCGCAGGGAGCTGGGAGAGTGCTGTGCGGAGCTGCCTTTGCTGCTCACGCAGATCTCAAACTTGACCTGCTCCAGCTTGGTGGCGCCCACCCCGCTGACCAGCGCCAGGTCCTCCACCTTCTTGAAGCCACCGATGTACTCTCGGTACTCCACGATGCTGCGCGCCACGGCGCGTGTCACCCCAGGCAGGGTCATCAGCTCCTCCTCCGTGGCTGTGTTGATGTTGAGCCGCTCCTGATTCACCAGGATGTTGCTGAAGTTACAGGCCGCGCTGAACTTGCGACTATGAGACAGGTCCGAGGGGTCCCTGGGGATGGAGCGGTGGCAGCCCAGGGTGCTCCCCATGGTCGGCCAGTATCAGGGGTCCAGGAAGGCCTCAACACCGCAGAAAAACTCTCTGGCTAGCAAGGAAGCCCAGTATACCTTACGAGCACAGAGGAACAGAAGGGGCAGGATTTAGGGGCTGAAGATGCCACAAACCCACAGCAAGACTTCCATGCTCAGGGTGTCCAAAATTACCTTCCACTTGGCTACCTAGAAAATAAATTAATAAACACACAAATCGAGTGAGTTAATCAATCATACCTAGTGCTGAAGTTAGCATCCAGGAGTTCCGGGCTGGTGGTTGCCCGTGAACCCCTGAAAACGCAGACACAGTGAAGCTGGGCCCACGTGGAATTTCCTCTGGGAAAATTCCGGTTTTTATCATATTGGGCTCCAAAAAGGCTATGAGCCGTTTGTCTTAGCCTGTCCGCTTCACGCCTCCCCGGCCACGGCCGCTCTCAACTCTGGCCTCGCTGGGGTCATCTGCCTACTTCGGTCACCCCCACCCGGGCTTGGACAGATGGGAGGGGGCAACCTCCCAGTCCCACCCCCACCCGCGCCTGACACTTAGCGCCACCTGCAACTTGGGAACTCAGTGCTCGCCGGTGCGGGCACCGAGAGGGGGGTTATCTACCCCCGCCCGACCCGCCGCAGGTCGCCGCGACCTACCTCTCGGCCGCTCTGCCTGGACGTCCGTCCCTCTTCCACCTGCGGTTCGGAAGCCCGAGCCAGCCCGGGACAGCGCGGGCCCCCCTGCCTCTGGCCCTGCCGCCCGAGCGGGTGCGGGTCAGTGGCCGGGCCCCGGGAAGCCTCCCGCGCCGCCTTGGCCCGCGCGTACCGGCTCTTACTGCGGGAGAAACTCTCCCCGGGCGGACAGAAGCCGCAGGGCTGCTCGGGGGCGACGGCAGCGGTGGCGAAACCCGGCCGCCCAGGCTGCACCAGGACTTGCGGCTGTACCAGGACTCGCGGCGTCGCCGCAGCTGCGTTTATCAGGGCAGAAAGTCCTGCGCCCAACTCGGGAGCGGGATCTGCCAGAGCGCGTCCAGACCCAGCACGAGCGCCGCAGCTCCAGCTCTAGTCGGTGTCAAAGCCAAAGTCCCGGCCGCGCCGCCCGCGCCTCGGCAGCCACCGCGGCCACGCCTCCTCCGCGGGGCACCTCCCCCCGGGACTCCCGGGGCACGTGGGGGCGGAGCCCGAGCGCGGGGCGGGACCTGGAGCAAGGGGGTGGAGAGCGGAACGCGAAGCGGGGGCCCGGCCTGGGAGCGCGGGGCGGGGCTTAGGGACAGAGGGGCGGGGCCGGCGCCGCGACGGCGGGGCGGGTCAGCGGAAGGCGGTCCTGGGTCTGCTCTCCCCGAGCCGGGGTTGCCGCCGGGGACCTAGGGCTGGTTGTGCCGGGAAGAGGCTGTGAACGTCGCCAGAGGCGAGACCTGCCAGCTGCTTTTCGCCCGTGTTTGCGGCTTGGGGGCGAAGGTTGGGGCAATCTCTGTGAGGGGAGCATCCCTGCGGGTCCGAGGGGTCGCTCATTTTTGCAGAACGTTCCAGAGGAGATTGAATGAGATCTTCTTAATTTCTACCCCTGCCTTAGACCTTCTCTTTTCTTCCACTAGCGTAGCACCCATGCTCTACTCAGATGTCCTCTAATAGCGCCAGCGACTCCCTGGGCACGCACCACCCTCCTGTGTGTTCGCATAGGTCAAATACAGAGCTGGGGCTTTGCACACGTAGCGCTCTGAGTGAATAAGCATATGTTTCTCTGAGTATTAAATCTAATCATTACAACGGACGGAAATGCTATTAGGAAATGGAGGCTGTTTCCCAAAACTCAGAACGGTTTTTGGATTACGCTTCTAAATGACAACATAGTTAACTATTAGAGCCTGCTGCATTTCAGTGAATACCCAGCCAGAGTATTCGATAAAACAAACTGTGCAGTGACACCGTTGAATACTTTGACCCTGGCCGTTTAGTGTTCTCTGAGGTTTCATCCTCAACCAATGTGACCAACGCATCTGCTTTCAGTCCCAGGGTCTGAGTCAGCAAAAATAGTAACTCAGGAAAGGCAGAAGGTATGTCAGATGTGAACTGAGGGGCAGCCCAGGCTTGGCAAAATGCGGCTACCTTTCTGAGGCACATTCCTCTGCTGTGTATATTAGTAGGGAAAACCAAGCCAAACTAGCCTAGACAAGAAGGGGGTTTTCCTGGCTGCCTGTGGCAAAGTTAAGGAATAGAACTTTCAGCCCAAACGATGTCTTCAGGACATAGTCTGACTCTTGGCTTCATTTTCAGCCATCCTGTTCTCACTTTGGCATGGCAAGAAGGTCCTCTTCCCCACCATCCTCCCCGGCCAAGCATTAGGCTACATATGCCACTCACTGAAGTCCTGTTGTGGCAAGGAAAAAAATTGTTTAAGACCAGCAGGAAACTCCCTTTAGAGGAGAGAAAAGTCTTTGTTCAGCAGAATGCCTTGCTGAGTGGTGTGGCTACAGAATGACGGACTAGGGGCATGGCCACTTGGGCTAGAAGCAAAAAAAGCACACATTTTGTCATCCAAACAAGGGCACTTTGGAGGTTAACAGGGGACAGTATTATTAATTACACTGCAACAACAGAAATACTCTGCTTTCATTCTCCATAAACATAAGTATATACTCTCCCTTGATAGAAATGCCAAGAGTTAGCTAAACCAATGTGCATTAAAAAAAAAAAAAAAAACGCAAACACCAAAACACACAATGAGATGGCTGACTTTAAAATGACTGACCCTATCAAATGTTGGTGAGGATATAGAGCAACTGAAACTCTCATGCATTGCTGGTGGACGTATAAGATGGTACAACTACTTTGGAAATCACTTTGGCAGTTTCTTCAAAAGTTAAACATACACATACCATATGACTCAACCATTCCATTTATAGGTATTTACCACAGAGAAAGGAAAGCATGAAACCCAAAGACCTGAATGTGGATGTTCATAGGAGCTTTATTTGTTATAGCCAAAACAAAACAAAACAAAACAAAAAACTCAAATCTGTCACTAAATGAATGAATAAACAAATTGTACTATACCCATATAAAGGAATGCTGCCCAGCAATAAAGACAAGTAAACTATTAATGCACATAGCGACATTGAAAAATCTCAAAATCATTACACTGAATGAAAGAAGCCAGGCAAAAAAAAAAAAAAAGAGAGAGTATTTGTATGATTCCATTTATGTAAAACACTAGAAAATACAAGCTAATGAATATATAGAGAAAGCAGGTGAGTGGTGGCCTGAGGATGGGATAGAGGGAGGGATGGATTAAAAAGGGCACAAAGAAACTTTGGGGTTGATGGGAATGTTGTTTGAGAGGTCACAGTTTCATGGGTGTATGTATACCAAAACTGATAGAATTGCATACTTTAAATATGTGCACTTTCGTGTACCTCAATTATACCTCAATAAATGTTTAAAAATCTTTTAAAAATGTTCTTTTGAAAAAAAACAGGATTTTTTTGGGGGGTGGAATAGGTAATCCAGGGTGGAGTTGAGGAGGTTGAAGGGGATGAAGGGGCCCAAGAAGAAGCTGAGGCAGCAGCTAACAGAAGAGAAGACCAGTGAACATGCTCCAGTTTGGGCTGGGGGCCCAGGAAAGGGGGTCCCAGAGACTTCTGGCATCCAATTGTCTATTTTATCTCTGATATAGCCCTCCACCCCCACCCCACTCACAGACTGAATCTTGTAAGATACATACTGTCCTTGAACCAGTACTGTTTAGGGGAATAGGAGATAAAGGAGCTGACTCTTTCTGGGTACACTAAGGAGAGGGAGAAGGGGGCAGCTAGAATGCGAAAGGTGGGAGGGAGCAAGCTCATTGGAAGCAGAAATTCAGAATGTGAGAAGACCTAGGAAAAAGTCTGACTTTCAAGAATCCTCGTTGAGATTGGGAAGTTGGCTGGGGGTCCCATCACACAAGGAATGGGGGATTGAGCCCATTATATTTGTCTCTCAAAGGACACCAGGGCCCCTGCTGACAGCTGAGTTACATGAGGATGTCAAAGGGCAGGGGTTACATCACTCCAGCCAAATGTCCCTTACCCTTCCCACACAGTTCTCACCTGGGACCTGGGCAGATGGGTCTGAGGTCACCGACCTTCTGCTTCTTACTCAACAGTTTTAAAGGTAAGTGGTGACTTGGGAGAAGGGAGAGGTGGTGGGAGAGAAGAAGGGAAAGCATTTGTCAATTTTCAATTTCAACACCACGGTGCTAGGCACTGTGTCTCCTGTGAGGAACAAATTTCCTGATTCTTCTCTTCCCAGAGCTGAAGGGCCAGCAGGACTGCAGACACTAAATCAGTGAGAGCAGTGCCTGCTGGAGTACAGGGGAGAGGAAGAGAAGATGGCTGTAAATGACAAGTAACTTAGCCTGGGGACTTCCTGGGAAGTGAGGGTTAAGAGAATTTTGAAAGATGGGCCAGCTGGGAATGTGGTGGCTCATACCTGTAATCCTAGCACTCTGGGAGGCTGAGGCAGGAGGATCACTTGAGGTCAGGAGTTCAAAACCAGCCTGAGTAAGAGTGAGACCCCATCTCTACTAAAAACATAATAGCAAAAATTAGCCAGGTGTGGTGGCACATGCCTGTAGTCCCACCTACTTGGGAGGCTGAGGCAGGAGGATTGCTTGAGCCCTGGAGTTTGAGGTTGCCATGAGCTATGATGACACCACTGCACTCTATTAGGATAACAGAATGAAACTCTATCAAAAAACTATCAAAACTCTATCAAAAAAAAAAAAAGAGAGAGAAAGAAAGATAAATAGAGAAATGGTACAAAGAGTTTTACCATGAGTAAATATAATGGAGTGTGATTGCTGGATCACATGGTAAGAGCATGTTTTGTAAGAAAGAGTTTTGTAAAAAACTGTCTACTCTCTTCCAAAGTGGCTGTACCATTTTGCATTTCCACTAGAAATGAGTGAGAATTATGGTTGCTTCACACTGGTGGTGTCAGTGTTTAGGATTTGGGCCATTCTATTAAATGTGTAATGCTATTTTGTTGTTGTTTTAACTTGCATTCTCTGATGACATGTGCTGTGGAGCATCTTCTCATGTGCTTAGTTGCCATTCGTATATCTTCTTTGATTGAGGTGTCTCTTAGCGTCTTTTGGCCATTTTTCAATCAGGTTGTGTATTTTCTTTCTGTTGAGTTTTAAGAATCTTTGCATATTTCAAATAATAGTCCTTTATCAGATATATCTTTTGCAATTTTCTCCCTGTCTATGTCTTCTCTCTCTTCTCTGATCAGTGCCTTTCACCTGGCAGCAGTTTTAATTTTAATGAAGTCCAGCTTATCAGTTCTCTCTTTCAGGGATCATGCCTTTGGTGTTGCATCTAAAAAGTCATCACCAAACCCAAGGTCACCTAGATTTTCTCCTATGTTATCTTCTAAGAGTTTTATAGTTTTATGTTTTATATTTAGGTCTGTGATCTATTTTGAGTTTTTTATGAAAGGTGTAAGTTCTGTGTAGAGATTCTTCTTTTTTTTTATTATTTGGGTGTCCAGTTTTTCCAGCATGATTTGTTAAAGACTATCTTTTCTCTGTTGTATAGCCTTTGATCCTTTGTCAAGGATCAGTTGACTCTATTTATGTGGATCTATTTCTGGGCTCTCTATTCATTCTACTGATCTATTTGTCTATTCTTACACCAATATCACACTGCCTTGATTATTGTAGCCTTAGAGTAGACCTTGAAGTTGGGTAGTATCAGTCCTCCAGCTTTCCTTCTTCAATATTGAGTTGGCTATTCTGTGTCTTTTTTCTCTCCATATACACATTAGAATGAGAGTGTCTGTATCTATAAAATAACTTGCTGGAATTTTGA